AAAATAAAAAAAAAACGACAACAAAGTTGAATTTTAAAATCATTTTTACATGATCTCCTATTTAACTCAACGGCACCGAAGCTCGTTCTTGCCTACCGATACGTGTTGGCCTTGTCTAACAACACTCACTGTAGATATGTTTATTTCTCTCTCTAGTTGTCATCGCATGCGAGCGGTATTACGCGCCTCAACATTCCATCCATTAATTATTAGATCATTGGGGGAAAACCATACAAATCCTGTTCTAGTTTCTTAATATTACTCAGAATTTGTTAAAATACCTGTGTCTAAAAAAGATGGAAGCACCATGCAATATTTAAGTTCAAATTCTTCAACTCCCAAGCAGCAGACTGTCGTCTAATTCACGTCAATTTTTGGTCATAACTCGTCGGCGACGTCATTCGCCCAAAAAATCACGTGATAATGACGAGATTTTTATGACTTACTTCTGACGTCAATTAATGACGTCAAAAGGCCGTCCTTTCTTGGTCATGTTTTTATAGATTATATGATCAATTAGATGTGGATCGTCGTATTCTTTAAAAAGTGCCCTTGATAATGCTTAATTATCTTTAGAGCAAAAAAAAAACCAACGGCTTTATTAGAAATACACCAAAGACAAGTTTTTTCATCTACTAATTTCTAATCAAATAATTATTTCTGAAAACTTGTTTATACTCTGGAAGTGTTATTTTGTAAGTACCTGCTTGGCAAATTATAAATAGAACATCCGGGGTTGAGCGTATAATAGTGAAAAGACCCCACGAGTCCCACGACACAAACAAAGTCATAAAAATTCTTTGTCCATTGTCCCTAAAATGGGACAAGGTTTTGAAGAATTCCTTCGTCGAATTTTGATTTTATAAAGACGTTTATAAAGTGATGATGGTTACCAAAAAAATTGGAGAGTGATTTAATATTTAGTTTTATTAAATTTATTTCATCTAATGAGAAAATAATGCCCAAGTTCCGTATTTACCATACAATACATCAGATGTTTGAGGCGTGCATTCGGACTTTCCCTTTTTTCGGTATTTATGTTTATTGCACTTCACAGTGAAGCATCCCAATATTTCCAGTTGGTTCTCAACTGCCGAAACTTTCTCGTGTATTCGTTACTCACTTCATTTTTAACGCAGTTTTGTTAAAATTTCTGTACAGTGTGGGTTATACTTATTTACACTAGGTAAGTTAATATTTAATAAAGTAATCATTTTAATTTTTACATGTTTCTGTTATTTTTGATAACAGTACGTAGATAACAAAAGCAGTTTTTTTAAGAAGGACCACCATTAGTCACTAAAGATACTCCCACTGATTATGAAGAACTTACGGTGATTGTTTTTGAAAATGAGGCGCCATAAAAAAAAGGTATATTACTGAAATTATTTATGTACTAATGCTAATGAACATAGTTTTATTCTAGATTTGAAACAAATACAAAACACATGTGCGAAACGAAATAAATGCTAAAGGAAACGAGTGAAAAAATCTCCAACATGGAAACGTCATCAAATCTGACAACTGAAAAAGAAAACAAAAATAGAAGTTATGCCGCCAAGACCACACCTAAACAAATTTTGACGAATTAAAAGATTATCTTTGCCTATTAGAATAAGCAGATTTCTTTGTAAGTTAAAAAATACAATGAATTCATATATACATATAACATAATTGTTCCGGCTTGAAGTGCCAATGTTTCATACAATCCGAATCGTAGTACCAACGTTTTTTGTAATCCGGTTGATACGACCATCTATGGTCTTCCGAATTGTACCTTGATATTGCTCGAAGGACCTTTGTTTGTTATAATTGAAATAATGGACAGCGTTCGGTTTTGATGTTTAATATAGGACGGTTACAGAAGTACTAAAATTACAGTACTATTTACAAAATCAGGTAAAGATACCCAAAAGGGTCAGTGGCCGCTTCCGGAAATGCAACACATAATAGGTATTGGATATTATATACAGGTAGATGCCTGTAATACTACGATATTTTTGATAACTTACTATACATGGCACATTTCGCTTCATTGTAAAAAGTATTGACAACGAGATTTTCCTGATAGGCTATATGTTTTTGTCAATGCAACCATTTTACGATTATCCGTTAGATTTAAGTAAATTTAGCATTTTTAAAATGCAGAATTTGTCTTCTGCTGTAAGCCGTAATCCCTTAAATTTAATAATTTGGCTATTATTGCCCATAGACGAAAAAATGATTGCATTTCCATTAATCCATGCACTGGGTTTTTCTTTTCAGTGCAATAAATTAAGGCAAACTTAAAAAAGTTAGGTTATTAATATGATTGTTAAAACAGAATTAATTCTTAACGGTACTTTTTTGTGTGTTGGGGACAGTCAAGTCGTCGTGAATTAGAAAGTTTTACAGTGTATTTTCAAAGCAAGTAACTTCAACAATGCGATTCAACTGTCTTTTCCCTTTATTCTAGTTTTTTTTTTATATATTTTTTGTAAATAGACTTGTTTGTGTTTTTAAGATTGATTTATAGTTTATTATAGTTTTTTTTTTAATATTCTTTGTAACTAAATAGATTTCTTTGTGTTTTTAAAACTGATTTTTCTTTAAATAGCATATTTTATTGCAACGTTTATTTTTGATTATATATTGTATATTATCCTTTTTTTTGTTTATAGTAATTTGACTCGCAATTACCTGTATGTAGATTTGTTTGTGTTCTTAAAAGTAGTTTATCATTAATTTGTTTAATTGACATATATTTTTTTATTTGTTTATTGAAGTTCATTGTTGGTTGTACAGAATTGTAGTAAATTTAATTTCTTTACATTAATTTGTTTTAACTTTAATTAATACATATTTTGTTTTGGGGTTTACCTGGTGATTATAACGAATTATAATATTTTATTTAAGGTAAATAACATAAAAATATAAAAGTATTTCAGCGTTTTATTATTGCATATTTTTTTCTAAAAATCAAAATATAAAAAACGTCTTAAAATGGACAATAAATGCCGTCTATAAGACGTCAGTACATCACGTCAATAGTTCGTCAGAAAATGACGTCATCTGGACGAGACATTTGACCGTCATTGGTACGTCAATATCACGTGAAATCTTTGGTCACTATGACGTAATTGATGACCATTTATTCACGTGAAAAAGACGACATCATGTTGCCTGGGCTATTACGTGAGTTTTCGAAGAATTAAGTATTTTGATAATATATTATCTGTGTACGAAAGTACGGATTATTATCTTAAGCACATCACATTTTTCCAAATAATACTATTCACTAAATAGATGTTGTTCAAATAGTGCCGCATTTGAAATGTGCAAATTTATTATCACATCGATTAATTACAATTTTTTTAACATTTACAACTGTTTTCCATTATTAGCACTGTCACCATGATTATCAACATTCTTTGGACAATTTTTGATGGTTCACAAAATTCCCATCTGTTGTTTATTACCTTCGCTGGTACTTGAAACATCGAAAACAAGTCAACCTTTAATTATAGTTTTTTTTAATAAATGATCACAAATCAGAAACGAACTCATGCAAATTGCTTTTGTGGAAAGTTGGAGAAACTCAGAATATTGTTCAAAGAGTATTTATGTTACAGCTAATATCCAAAATCCGTTATTATGCATAATAACTAGACATTTTAGGAATTATGCGTAATAACTAAACTTGTCAGTTATTATGCGTAATAACTGAAATTTTCAGTTATTATGCATAATAACGGAAACGTTTAGGTAATATTGATAATAACTAACAGAGAAACAGGAATTATGCATAATATTTTCAAAAAAGCTACCCACCCTGCCTCCCTTTCCCCTACATATCACATGTACAGTTAATTTAAAAAAAACGGGACAAATTACAGTAACAGAAACGTCATATTCCCATTGCTTTTCATTGATCTATGAGAACCTGAATTGCTCATCTTGTCACGTTTTTTGTGAAATCAGCTATTATTATGCATAATTCCTGTTCCTCTGTTAGTTATTATCAATATTACCTAAACGTTTCCGTTATTATGCATAATAACTGAAAATTTCAGTTATTACGCATAATAACTGACAAGTTTAGTTATTACGCATAATTCCTAAAATGTCTAGTTATTATGCATAATAACGGATTTCGGATATTAGCTGTAACATTTATATTAACTCTAGTAGACAACAGAGATACAATCTGATGTTACTAATGGCCAACTTTCATTCATCAAGCGTTACATAACCTCAATTTTTATTATAGACCTTGGTCAATAATAACTTCACTTCCATTATTACCCTTGGTCAAATTTAATTATCATTATTGACTTTGGTAGAGAATGATAATGGTTCTACGCTACTAGTGAAAAAGAACAAAAAGCTGACAAGTCAGTCCAAAAGAGTGACCAGTGAGTAAAAGAAAGTAATATTTTTCAGTACAAAAAAATTACACTTCATGGACGTGATTAGGAACATAATACGACTAGATTTGTAATGGTCGCTTTCTTAGGCGACTAAAGCTGGATTTATAGCTATTCCGCATACGCAAACGAGCCCGGATGACGTAACGGAAGAAAGTTCAACATCAGACATCAGGTTTTGTTAATATGCATTTATAACGACTCCGCATCCGAAAGCGGGTCCGTAACCCAAGTTCTTGCGGTGCTTACGTTCGACCAATACGTGTGGCTATTGTGCCGAAAGGATCCGAATAAATACGACAAAAATCGAATCAAATTGCATTAGCTGATTATGATTATACATATATGCGATTAAGTATTATTAGCGGTTTCTGTTCTGTCACTTGGTTACGTTAATTGCGCCTCGGGCTGTTGGAAACCAAAAAAATAAAATAAAATAAAAATAAACGTCAATAGAATTGACGCTGAATTATTCATCCCTGATAATTGGACTGGATCTAAAAACTGATCAAAGAGGTATATTTATTATACTCCTGCTTATGATCCCCACAAAAGAGATCTTAGATAATTTAGGAAATATAATTTTTTACAATATTTTATGTTAAACCTAACATAGTAGGCACTGAATTTTTTATATTTGTACTAAAGTTACAAAAATCGTCACTACAAATAACACATGAACTATATTGCAACCCGTTGAGTTGTTCACAGGCCCATATAGCATCACTATTGTCATTCGAAATGCAACCTTTTTGTTCGATGGGCGTACCCTCTGAAAATGAAAAATACAAAAATTGCAATAGGCAAATTAAAAAAGTTGAACACTTTTACATACCAATTATGGTAAATGATGATATACAGCTAAACGTTTCACCATCACGACCATTAGAGCAACAAGTTGTTTCTTCTAAAGGGTAATCACATTTGTCATCACAGTAGTAACACTTTAAAGTGTTTTCGTCACCCCTAACTACAACCACAATTATAATTTGATTAATAAATTAAGATAAATACTAACCTTGATAAGCACTAATGAGTGCTATAACAAAACAAACGTGCATAAAAGTCATTTGGTGATAATACATTTAATTCACTTAAATATGCATATTTGTGTCAATATACAGAAATTAAAAATACGTTCATCATTGAAACCGCTATTTTGGCTTGTTTATACGTGTATAAGTTTCATTCAAACAAAGCCTCGACAATAATGTTTTACGGAGGGATTATTTATGTTCTTATCAATTAAATACATAATCGTTTAGAGTACGCAGTTATATTTGGGGAAGGTTATTCATGCCTGTGTTTCAACAGTTTTATAAGTTTTCAGTGGAAAATCAAAACAAGTGAGTGGAGGAATGGAATTAAATATGGGTTTGTCCATAAATAATTCTACACAGTGTACTTGTTCCCTCTTTAATCATGTCTGAAGTTGTGAAATCTGTTCCTTCCATTTTACTTCCCCAGCGTAAGCGAAGGAAGTATTGTAATCGAATCTGTAGTTTTACGTTTTTTCGACCTTTCATCACCGCTAGAGTACGAAGAAATAGGTCTCCCGTTTGTCTGTCTGTCTACCGTCCCAATTTTCATTAGACAGATAATCTTGACATTTAGAAATTTTTTCTAAATCAAGTAAGTTTGCGTAACATTGGTTGCATATTTCCAATGCATTTATGTGTATTTTTTTTAGCTGAACGTAAGAAATAAGCCTATATTTATTTCATCTTTAAAAAAAATTCTTCCAGATAATTTTATTACTCACAAAACAGATGGAGTTCTAATAATTCCACGTTTGAATTGTGGAAATTTATTATCAGATATCAGATAAGTTCGGAATTATTTTATGATATTGTGCACCAGATGAAATCTTAATGAGATGACACCAGGGGCGGCTGGTCAGGGGAGGCAGGGTCGGTCACGCCGTACCAGTCATTTTAAAATACTTAGTAAGCGTTGAAATTAGAAAATAAAAAAAGAAATAAAGTTTGAATGTACGTTAGGATAGATCATATATATTAAAAATATATTTTATTATATTGTAGGTACAAAATAAAGCATTTGTTGCTAATTTTAAATGCTGATAAACACGCTTTGCCGGCGAGATTTCGGCACGCCGTATCCAGGAATGCATTATGCTCGATGTTTCGACTTCGTAGCAGCTTACGGTTTCATCGTTCCCTTTGTCTAGTACACTGTAGTAGACAAAGACCTGGCGGAACGTATGTTGTGCCAGGTCCGGCGAAATCCTCCTTCGCCGTACCCAGCAACGCGAATTTAGTTTTTAAAACGCTTAATATTTAAGATAGCTAACCAAATTACAAAACAATAACGGCTTCGATGTTCTTCAGTGCATACTATTTTTTTTTTAATAATAATAATTGTCGATTTAATACATTTTCCTGTGTATGAATAATAAACGAAAAAAATTACATTAAATTATCTAAAATTTTATTTTTCGGACATAACTTAGCTACAACATAAATGCGCTTTTTCTGTATTTGTAGCATCTAAGCGTTTTCAGATATTTCAGAAACGAATTTAAAGTTTTAAATCATTTTAATTTTTCAATTATTCAATTAATTTATTTGACAATTTGTCATATACATTAAAAAAAATAAATGTGAATGAAGATAGTTAACAGTTGGTACTTTTATTATTACTTTTTTCTATATTTTTTAACTGCATGTTATTATTTAATTATTATTATTTAATTGTGGATGTCCGGGGTCGGCAAGCCGTATAGCCGCCGGTCGACGCGGAACTCAGTAAAAATAATGTTTTCGGTGGTTCTCAATTAATGATAAAGCAGAACAAGTAGAATTAAGGATTAATAGTATTTGGAATCAAACTGACATTGTCAATTTCCTATAAAAAATTATTTTAACAGGTCGAAACATTTGAGATGTTTTGTACATCCTGGCACGTAAAATGTCAGTGGTTAATGAGTAGCAGCCATACATTACGAAAATATATAACACCAAGGTGTAGACTCAAAATATTTGGCCGACCCGGAATTTTGACCCACCAGCCGCCACTGGATGACACGATAATAGGTATTGCACAATTCACCAACCTGCTTTGGACAATTTTTATTTTTCTCTCTTACCTCACAAAATTCACATATATTGTTTATCAGATCACTTTCGTTGGCATCGATTGAGTCATTTATTTCCAAAAAAACGAAAAACAACAGTATCAAATAAGGACTAAATGTTACTTCAGAACAAAGCAAGTGGGAGACATAAAAACTTGATCTAAGGCTAAGGTTACTTATCCAGAACTTCAATCGCCTCTGAAATACAGCCTAAAAATTATAAAATTTAATTTTGCTCAGTTTTCCATAAGAAAATTTTTTGTGACTTCAACAGTATTTAAGCAAAGACAAATATCAATTTGAACAAAAGCAGTGTAATACTAATATTAACGTACTATATTTTCAGTTCACAGACCTCCCATCTGTGAAACAAGCGCGCCACCACTGGACTAAGGTGGCTGTTATAGTGTCGTATTATGTGACTATAGAAAAAGACGAATTAAACAATAAAATAAATATAACAATAGTAAACAAAATTAAGACATACTTATTCATAAAGCACAAGTAAAGGAATGTGCTATTTCATAAAATTTAGGTAATCTTAATTATGCAGTACATTGAGCCGACGTCATCAAACTGTTGTTGGGGATGATTACATGATATTCCTAGTATATACATACAAAATTTGGCAACAATCGGTCCAGCAGTTTGGAAGATTATTATCTGTCTAATAAAAATCAACAGACGACAGACACATGAAAACGGGACACCACTTGTTTCGTGCCTTGGGAACATGAAACGTCGAGAAAATGTGAAAGTGTCCAGTCGTTCGATGGTCCCTATTACAAAAATCGTTGAGAAAATATGCCCTACAACTACAAAATCTGGTGCTAAAATACCTCAAAAATTGCAAGAATACCCGATATTAAGAAGTGCATTCTTATCCTATCTAACAATCCATTAGAAAAAAAACATAAAAAAAACGCTTGTGTTGCTATATAAAATGAAGATTATTGATGGCATTAAGTATGTTATTAAAAATACATTTATATTCGTTAAGTGGTGGTAAAACGCCCATGACAAGCTACTGAAAGATAAGGAAATCAACTTCGAACTTATAGACACAATTAAGGTTAAAGATTACTAAAAATCACCAAAAGAGTGTCCAAAGTCATCTAAAAATTTTAAAAATCCGAATTTTTTCAAAATTTTGTGTTTTTTAATTTTCGAGATCTGAAGTAAAATGCTTATGAAGTCATAGTCATAAATTCACTATATCTTTATCCGAACTTTATACGCTATGTGGAAATTAAAATCTACAGTGGCTTTATTAGAGACAGTGCCGACAATAGGCCGGATAGACGCCATGATGAGGCTAATGTGAATTGCTGGTTGCATAAGTTAAACAGTGGAAACTGGTAGGTTGGCAACCTAAAATACATTCTTTCCATTTTTATTTCCCTTAATTACCTATCTATTCAAGTCATTTTATACCTTTTTTTTGCCGAATTTGTGCATTCAACGCCAACACATCCCGGCATTTTGAAAAACTTTATTAAAATGACAGCAATGACAAATTTGAAATTTTGACAAGCTGCAACCAATCAAAAACAAGACCACCATTCTCGCCAGTGTCTCTAATAAAGCCACTGTATTAAAATCAACGTTGATTGCGCCCTCTATTATATCCGACAGTATTCAAAGAGCAGTTGCCTGCAATCTTGATGTTAGCAACGTTGCCTATATTTTAGGCTATAAATTTGAAATTGGTGCACACGTCTTATCAGACTATTATTTTCCACATCGACAAAGTTTCCTATGAAATCGGAAAACTTATCAGAAACATGATTTACTTATCACACTTTTGCTTAGGACACTGATAATAAATCTTGGACAGATAATTTAGAAAACATAGTTAAAAACATATTTTAATGCTAAACCTAATATAATAAATACTGAATTTGTTACTTTTGTACTAGAATTACAAAAATCGTTATTGCAAATAAGACATGAACTATCTTGCATATCATTAAGTTTTTCACAACCCCATATAACATCACTGTTGTCATTCGAAACGCAGCCTTTTTGTTCCATGAGCGTACCCTCTAAAAACAAGAAATACAACAATTACAGAAACTATTACAACACAAAAATTACTAAAATTAAAAACCTTATACATACCAATTATGGTAAATGATGAGATACAGCTAAATGTTTCGCCATCACGACCATTAGAGCAACAACTTGTTTCTTCAAAAGGATAATCACATTTGTCAACACAGTAGTAACAGTTTAAAGTGTTTTCGTCACCCCTAACTACAACCACAACTACAATTTTCTTAACAATATTAAGATAATACTCACCTTGATAAACACTAAAGAGTGCGATAACAAAACAAACGTTTATAAGACTCATTTGGTGATAACAAATTCAGTTCACTTATAAACGTATATAAATAAATTAAGAAATATATTTCTTTCACTATACCTCACTAGTTAAAATGTTTTCATCGTAGAAACCACTACTACAGCTGTTTATGCGTTTCAATCACAGACAAAGCCTCGACAATAAAATTTCGTTCAAAGATTGTTTATGTTCTTATCAATTAAATACATGATCGTTGAGTGTGTTTAGATTTGAGGACATACAATCACGGTTGCTTAATTCTCCGTTTCAGTAGTTTTAAAAGTCTTAAATGGAAAATAAGTAAAAACAAGTGAGTGGAAGAAGTACCTTGTAATAACACCTTATTTATAATTAATAACTAACTTAAAAGTTAGATTAAAAAAAACAAAAATTAAATTTTATTTTAAAAATATGCAAGATGTTTCAATTTAAAGTAAATGTTACAAATAAACAAAGACGATTTTTTTAATGCAGTATATTTTCTTTACTTGTTTTTGGAAAGTTTGTTGCAAAAAAGTAATTTAATTTATTTGGGCCAGAAATATTTTAATAATAATACAACCATATTTTTTGACTTCAGTAAGATACTTTTATTTTTCTAAATTGGTTAGCCAGCTATTCAACCCTCTTTAAAGTATGTAAATCAAATTCCTGATTATTTTTTTAGTAGTGACTAACGTAAAATAAAAAAGTACTCTCTGCGACGAAGATTTAAAATTCATACGTGTATTTCAAACAACGAGCTCATTATTCTAAATTAGAGTTAATCGTGAGATCATTTTTATAGGTGGTACTACAGCACTACATCTCTGGCACTACTGACACGGTGACACCACTGGTTGACCATTGACAGATCTGTCACCTATCATTGACAAAAATTAAACATGTACACTAGAAATCCTGTCGAAACCTAGTCACAAATTCAGTGATTGGTGGACCCTGTTTTAAAATGTAAAATGTGGTGGCTCCATATTCCACTATTTTAGCGAAATAAAAAAGATAAGAATGGGAATGAATGACGTAACTTGCATGAATCATGCGCCGAATTATTCACTTTTTGTGGACTAAAAATCACGTTTAGATATTATATCGATACGAATGAGAAATAATTACTTAAATTAAGCAAACGTTCTGCAAGAACGGTTCATTGTTTATTTAAACTTATAGCCAGTGAGTAAATACACAATGTATATGTAATCTGAAATCTGTCTTGATTATGCAACCAATTTACTTTGATAAGATGACTTTTGTAATTATCACACTTTAATTGCTGACACATCAGTTAAATAAAAATTAACCTGCTGTCATAACTGTCCTTAAAATAACCCAAATAATGAACAAAACCTTAGTAAAATGTAAACATTTTCGAGTACTTTTTTAAGCGCTTTAAAGGATGCCACTGACAATCTAAAATCATGCGACTAAATTATAAAAGCAAACACCTGTTATTTATTTTTGCAATAAAGATATAGTTAAACAATATCCAAAAAAATATTAAAATGTGGTAAATATCAAGTTGTGTGAGGACCTATACATAGAACAAAAACAATGTCATAAAACTTAAAAATACAGAAACCGTTAATAAATTTGCAGAATTGCAAGAGTCACTGTCACAAGTTGTACACCTTACTACGGCAACAGCGGGGTTGTTTATATACTGGTCGTTCAATATATCACACTGATTATTAGGATAACAACCTCTGTGTAGGATCTCAGTCCCAGGGTCTAAAATTCAAAAAACTTGTAGAAAAAATTCAAAAAACTGGAGAAAAATCATACTTCCTTTAACGTATTCAGCACAAACTTCACCCCCTTCACACGGAATAACCGGTATATCCTCCAAATTGTTTTCGCAATCCATACCAATGTTCAGCGGACCAGTGCATTTGTAACAATTTAACGAAAAGGCTGCATGATTACAGGATAATTAAACTCTTAATAAAACCAATCTGACTTACCAAAATTAATATTCAGGGTTAACGCTAAAACTGAAAGGATAGCTATTCTTGCAACGCACGCCATGTTTGACTAAATACTGTATTTAGGGTTTCATATCAGGAATTAACGTCTATCTGTTAAGCCAAATAACACGCCATGTTTACTCTAAAGACGCTTTTATTACCTTTGTGCTCACATTCGTTATCAAACACTCCACCTTGCTCGATATATTCAGTAATTAAAGTACGAATACAAGGGAACAAATTGGGCGAAGCTGTTTGTTTTCTTAGAAGATTTCTGACAATGTTAGATGCATCTAAACCATTTACATATGTGTATTCTGCGTTTAATAAAATATATCGTTATTGACTATTACATTTTATTACCTTAATCTGTAGGATTAACTATTACAGATAAGAATCAAATTTTGCTCCAATTTAAAAACGATACGGCTATCTTATATTAAAATTATGACTGACTTATTGTTTTAGTGCCAAACGTACGCATCGTCCTCTCAATTTTAATTTTGTTGCTAGATATAACTCACTACTAGTGGTTCGTAGAATGTATTAGAGTTTTAACTCCTTTCTTTTCGTATTATAGAACACATAGGTATACGACGCGCGCCGGAATAGGATATCGAGTTCGAGCTACGAGCTCGAACGCGGTGTCGGTGTCGAGGTGTTTGAACTGAGTTTAAACATAGGGATGTATCGCCGCGCTATAGAGAGAGAGAGAAATAAACTATAATAAAATGTGTTCGTTTGACTGTTCCAACAACTAAATTAGGTACAACAATTGATGTCGATTTCACACACTTTATTACTCATTTACAATTTATAGGCGCATCTAAAACATCATGTCACTCCAAAATTTGAAAGTCCAAGTGTTCCTTCCTAATGCCAACAAGCGCTGGGCAGGTACAGAAGCTGTACACAGGGTTTCATCTTTCTCTAAGCTCATTAGGCATCGGAAACTATATCGATGGTGCACATGTGTTTGTTTAGGACGCTGTGTCAAATGAACAGCTCCACTACAATTCTGAGATCTTTTCTACAGAGTCTCAGTAGCTTTTCACTGCGTTTCTCATCAGGCCCTTCTATTAGCAGTCCCCAGTGACGACAGTACAAGATCTGTAATTCTTGGTAGGTATTTAATAGAAGTCTCAAAATGTCTTTTTCCGACACGGTAAGTAGCGGTAGCGTACACAGCGACCCTAGCTTAGCAAACGGATTCTTAATAAGGACCTTCTGAAGTCTTGTTGATTGTGGACGATTGCCTGCCTTTCCAGAAAAGACTTTCCATCTGTCTGCTTTTTTACTTAGAATTGCGCATTTGAATTCTTATTGAACCCTCTTATAGAGCTCTCAAGAATTGGATGATGTGTCCAGTCGAGCCCTATTCCAAATGTTCCTTGCAGTGTGTCCCAATCCACTTAGGGTTACGCTTTGTAGAACTCTGTGTGTCTAGGCGGCCGTTTTTTCCGCCTCTTTTACGTGTCAGACTTTATTTGGCCTCTTTCGCCCTTTTCGAGAAAGCCTCCTTAAAGAAGTACCAGTTTTTTCACTTGGATCTTTATGTTCTCGTCTCGACTCTCCATTCTTTTGAATGCTAAATCCGATGTATTGATGATCCGATGAACTGAACTCTGATACATGCCAGTCTTTGATTTCCTGAGCCAACCCTATTGAGTGGAGAGCTATATCGATAACCTTTTCCCTCACTTTAGTGACAAAAATAGGTTTGTTTCCATGGTTCAGAATATCCAAACCGCTGTAACAACTGTAATTCAGAGGAAGCGCTCTCTGGAATCGACATCAGCACTCCCCCACACTATGTGGTGTGAGTTCGAATCGTATCCCACAATGAGGGGCCATCCCTTAGCCTTGCTAAAGTCTGTTATCGCCATTAGTTCAGCTGAGGATAACAGTATATGTGGGTCACATATCAGATAGACACACTATCAGAATTTTCTGCGTTCCACCACGTATGATATTTACACGGGCAGCCACTACATCCCTAAAATCAGGTTTTCTAAAGGAAGAGCTTGTACCGTTTGAAATAAGTAGAGATATGTCCTGAATTTACATTCGATAGGACCTGTAATAATTGATCGTTTCTGTAAACACAGGTTCCTTAACCGCCCCCCATATATCCACTGTTTCTGAAGAAGCCCAATTCTACACCCCAGATGCCGAAAAAGCCGAAGATGCACCACTATGGTTCAGATTGAACTGCAGAAATAACAGTGGGTCCCTATTCAGTAGGACCGTTAACTATCATTTTCTACACTTCCGTCTTCCTGTCTACCCAGCAACGTTATAGTCGCGATTCTGGGCCTCTAAGGGTCTTAAAGTCACCCTGAAAACCACGAGTAATTCCTGAACAAATAGCAAAGCTTTCCTTGGTCTTAGAAGTTCCGCGGTTGATGTATACCGCAAAGTGAAACCCTCCAACTGTAGGTCCCTCATCCTGACACTATATGTGGATTACCCCCTGTCGAAGTTTCCCATTTACAAGGTGGGTTTGATGTCCATCTTCAAAAGGGTTATCTGCAGCAAACAGCAGTGTCTTGAAAACCCTCTCTTGAATGATGTTTTAATGTGCGTTTTCTAGTTCTCCCACAAGGAAGCCTTTTGCAAAAATACACATTTGAAAAGCAGGTGTGACCGCTCTCTTCGCACTGCGTGTGTCACTGGGAGGAGTCTGGGTCTCTCCGCTTGGTTCCGGGTAGCGGTTCAGTCTCTCTACCCGCGAAGTTCCTTTCTCTACGACTTGCTTTTGGAGACGGTGGATCCTACTTGGTGCCGAGCCCTCTACTAAGCCCTAACAGCACATTGTTCAACATTTCCGCCACTTGCGAGTCCATGTTTCCACTCAAATTCGATTCATTTGAATTTATGGTTTCGTATAGGTCCCACTTGCACCGGAGAAAAGCATTCAACTGCATTTCGGAAACGCTGAGAGAACTTTCGCCCCACGTGGCTTCACTACGGTCATAGCATTCTATAGCACCCACGGCATAGCATTAATCTCCATTATGTGGTAGACAGCTATTATTATCTTTTGGGGAAATTTGAAATATTCAGGTACTTCGAGGAGCTTACTCCGGTTAATTGTATCATATGTTTGTTTGAAGTTAGTAAATATCATACATAAACATAGATTAAATTCATGCGTGTTTGAGAAGACTTGCCCTATTTATTTAAAATATTTGTATAGTTTATATGAAAATTGAGTATGTACGTTAAATTAACATATTATACTGAACAATTAGTACAAGCAGCATAAGATATTACATAATTATAGTTTACAGTTAAACGCAAAATCAAACATATTAAATGCTTCTTTTTCCCAATTCCAAGATAATCACAGAGAACTATATCAAACTATTACAACCAAATAGTGAATGATTAAATTAAATGATTACAAGGTTCAGTTCAATACAAAAATATTAAAACCACAAACTCCTGAAGGAAATTATTTATTCAGAAAGATCTTTGTAGAAAAGAACGGCTTTCTAGTGCCATGGATAAATAGTGCTCAAAATGCACTCGCAGAAAATTGTGTTTCCGTACACTCGTGGAATTTTCACAGCTACTGACTCTTCCTCCCACTCATGGGACATGTTATAATTTTCCATGCGTATTTAAACTAAACCTTCTTATACATTGGTGTACAAAATATTTACACAAAATTAAATTCTTTATTTATTTTAAAAATCACATCATAGTATAAAAGACCAGCTATAAAAAATACGCACATTTACCATGGCCAATTTTCTAAGCATAGTGTTTTTGCTAGGTTGCATAATACTGCAACAAAGTCAATTAGGTGAATATGACTTATATTTATACTAACCTCTGTAGTAAAGATCTTTCCAGCTGCTTCTATTCAGTGCTACGAGTGTTCAGGTCCCTTGACCACTAAATCTGACTGTGTAAAGTTAAAACACATTCCTCCTTCAGATTGTGAAGATGGAGAAATTTGCGCTGCCTACGTTTTAAAAAGTACGTATAGTTAGCAGATGCAACAATGTTGACTTTAATTTTTTTTAGAACCTGACGTAGAAGTTCTGTATAGATCATGCGCTGCGGATAATTTGTGTGCCACTTTGGTAGAACAGTATGAAAATAATTCAGCAGTTACAGTAGGTTCATGTGCTGTTTGTATTACAGATGAGTGCAATTCAGCGTCTATAAAAGTTGCTATTTTGGCTTTAAGTTTAATGAGTTTTGTAATGTGTCTGTTGTTGTAAACATGTATGTACACTTAACATTAATCAGTTACAAAAAAAAAACTAATAAATTTTAAAAAATAAAGACATGTTTGTGACTTGGAGTTTTTATATTCTACTTCTATAGCGGCTTTCAGCACGAAAGGGTACAGGGGCGGGGCTTAAGTTGCGCGACTTGTAGCCGGGCCATCAGTGGCGTAACATCGATGCATTGAGAAGGGAGGCTCGGCTGAGTTGTACTTCTTTCAAAAACAATTAAAAAAAGAGCAATTTCTACAAAAGAATACAGACAACCATTTAATAAAAATAAATTAATTTGTTTGTTAAAAAAATAGACTTACGTAACAATAAATTATGATAATCTATCACACAAAATTTGGTATTTTTAATTATTAAACGAGTTTATAATGTGAGGGATTATAGCATGAGTAAAAAATTTCACGAACCCCTCATTATAAACCAGTATCATATACTATTTTATAGTCGACTAGTCTTAAATCAACAGTTAAATCTTTAGATAAAAGTTGGCTTAAAACTCTGAGAATAAGCAACCTATGACTATAATTATATGTTTTTTTATTTTCTGGCACAATTTATCGATACCGTAAAGTCGGATTATAATAAGGCTTAACGTTTTCTGTCTTTAACATCGGAGTAATAATCACAGTTCATATTCTAGCATAATTGTCGTTTATAACTAGAGCTTCGACTGTACCCTAATTTAACAGTTCTTATTGCTCACTAAAAATTACCTTTTTACTTCTTTTACTTACTTTTTTATTCAACTCATACATCAAATATAGCACTAATAATTGTTTAAATTCTTTTTCTATAATGTCAACGCTAATAAAATAGAAAAGTGATATTTTTATTAACCCCAATAATATTTTAATATTTAAAATCGAAATATTCATCGCCGCTGCCACTGCTTGCACGATATTTGTAAGGCCAAACCAAAACAATGTTCTGCGCACTCCCACCACCTGTACCCTTTCGTCTTGAAAGCTGCTCTACAAGATAAGTATTATTCAGGGTTAGTCACGAGAAAATTACTTCTGAAAATTATTTTACGCAACCCAAAATACATATAGTATATAGTATCCAGAAGTACACGGTATTAGTACAGGGTCATCAAAATTGATTGAGAGAGTTGGTACCCCCTGTTTTTGTCGTGAAGTTTGTCAACCTTATGACAGATTTGTTTAAGGTTATATGCCAATGAATTCAGTGGCGTGACAAAAATTAGAAACTTCAAATCTGACAGCTAATATTTTTATACAACTTAATAAACCAAATTATTCAAGTTCAGGTTTACCAACTCTCTCAAACAATTTTGATGACTCTGTATTTTGGGTTGCGTAAAAATTATTTTCAGAAGTAATTCTCTCGTGACTAACCCGGTACATTGCTTGACACAGTCAGTCTGCTGTCAAGCACTTAACTTTGAGTCCAGATCCCACAGTCGTTAGATGGCGCTGCACATATTCAGCGACTGTCAAAGGCCGCTTAAACCATGGTAGAAGGAGACATGGTATAGGCATACGCATCGGGTGTGACGTCAAGTGGGGTGAAATTAGCGCGAAATTTAAAATACATTCTTTAAATTGCAAAAATTTATTTGTGATTATTCGTCGTATGCGTGATGTGATCGCAGAATTTAGGTTTGTGGAGAGAACTGAGCATAAATATGTCAAAAACCTCTTTTTCAAAACTCAAGAGATAAGAGCCAATAGGTATTTGCATTTGCTGATGTCCCACATTTATTGAAATTGATACGAAACCACATTTTTGGATCGTTCAACCTTCAATAATTACATTTTTATCATTATTAATTTCATTAACTTTCCTTATCCGACAACTAATTGACGTATTGGAGAGAGCAATGACAATTCAAGCTGAAATTCCCTAGACTTCCCTAGCGAAGCTCACAAGAATCACAAGGTCATTGATGCCACCTAACGTCACAAATAGATGCGCAGACGATTTTTAAATTGGTACATCGGATGCCTATACCATGTCTCCTTCTACCATGGCTTAAACATAGAAATAGCTGTCAAATTTGAAAATATGACTTAATTAAAAATTAAATTTTCAAAATTTGAGGTATGAAAGTAAAATTAGTTTCTGCCACTAGTTTTAGACACAAAAATTTAATAAATTTTGCTCGTTTTTCGATTACTCTATATTTTAAAAAAGTATTACAGTTTCTGTCACTCATAATAATTAATCACAGCAAACAAACCACCATAGGCTCTAAAAGGTTATTTTGGCACGTTTTTATTAAATCTGTAAGCGACATAATCGGACAATAAAAACAGGTATAAATGTAGACCTAGGTGATCGTACGTTAGGGTAATTCGAGGGGACGCGGCCATGGGTTACTTCTTTGAAGATTTCTATGGTACCATGAAAGCAAATGACTTGAAATTTGAAGGAGAATGTTTTGCTACACCATAGATTTCATATATCAGTCAATAAGTGCTAAAGACCTTCACAGAGAATTTTTCAGAATTTTTGTTGTTTTATCGACGGATAGCGTAGGGTGGTGTAGGCAGTGATGGCCATATCATTTTTTACAGACATTACGTATAAAAAAATAATTTTTATAAAGCATTTATTGAAAAACACAAAAACAAAGAATATTCGTCATAAAAACTTCGAATAAAATAAACAAATTTAACAAAAAAAGGAGGTCGGTACAAATCCAAGCAACTAGTAAAAATGTTAAAAAGAACGTTCAGATTATACGTTTAAACAAAAATCGCACATGTAATTTTTCGGTGTATTTTTTCCACTGCATACTTTGTGCACTCAAGTTCCGCATGAAATGTAGCGATACCAGAGTTCTGATGTCCCTTGTTCTCCACAAATTATACATGTTTCATCATCAGATTCATCATTAGTACACTCAAATGAAGAATCTGAAGAATCCTTTCTCTTCTTTCGGAGCGAGGAAGATGGTGTTGTTTTGTAAGATTTCTTGCCACCAAGTGGACGCTGTGATTTCATCTTACCACTGGTTTTTTGACTGATATTTTGGTTCTTTACCTGATTAATTCTACATTTTTGTATATGCTCTGGTGAAGTTAGCAAGCAAGCAATACTTTTTGCTCACTTTTTAGCTCGTTCCACAGTCAGCTTCGGTACTTCCGAAATGTTTTCTAATATTTTACCGGAGTTTCTTTTTCTTCCTGTTTTTCTGCATGTGATGTACTGGGTTGTCTCTCACCTTTTGTCTGGTTTAATTCGACAGCTAGCATATCGATATCTGAGAAGCTTTCCACTGCTTCATGGCAGGTGTATTTCTCTTGTTCTTCTTCTAGAGAGTGCGAGGGACCAGCTTGCGGTTCATCAATGGTTTACTGATTAGAGTTATGGTCTTGTTTTTGAGAATTTGCTATAACTTCGTGTTTTTTCTGAATATTACTCTCGTGTGATTTACGAATTCGAATCTCAGAATGCCGACGCAGAAATAGTTGAAGCCAAGGATACCCAGCTTTTTCAGTAATTTTGTTAAATCGATTTGGAATTTTGCATTGCTCGGCATATCAAAAAGCAATGTGACGAATGTCGTCTCTTGTTGGCAGAAATCCCATTTTCTGCATTTTTTTAATATGTTTTACATTTTTTTTTCATTTGCATCCCCAAAAAGACCACTAGGTCCCAATCTACTTTACTTGTATTATTTGTTTTTAAACGTCGTTCTAATGTTTTTCGCGGAATGTCATATTCAATAGAGGCATGTCGTACAGACATTCCACCTTTATTTACGGCCTCCATTGGTTGTATTAGACCTTTTTGGGACCATAATCCACGTTTATGTAATGCCTTTCGTTTATATATGTTCGGCATCTGAAAAATCAATCATAACTATAGGATAGATAGCCATGACGAACTATCCTCAAAAAGTGCTGGCCAACTCTCCTTTCTGTAGAGGAGAGATGACCATAGTCTCCACGGGCGACACATGCACATTTCATGTCGGTTTGAGGTTATATTAATCGTGAGACATTATTTGAACACTAAGGAAAAAAATTGAGCAATCAAGAATGTTATATACGATATTATTGTACCAGAAAGTGAATGCTTAAAAACTTTTGGTTGTCATATCTACGTAACACCTGTAAAACTTACCTTCAGAAGTTTTGTCGTCAGAAACTATGCATGAACAGAAGCATAACCAACACAAATAACTGTGTTTACGCCAGTAGTACCGATATCTAGTAGTGGGTTGCTTGTATATAGGCGTTGGCCATCTTTACTCTATGGCCATATCCCCTCGAATTACCCTATCATGTTATCAATAACCATTGACATTGAAATGAATTGATATGTTACAAACACAATCTTGGATATACTTATCTACATCACAGTTAAGTTGGATATGTTACAGTTAAAACCCGTTTTCAGTTAGAACACGTTTTCTCTAGTTAAAACTAGCTTTTACTGTATACCTTTGTTACAACTATAATTTACTGAATTTCAGTTAAAACTAGTTCTAACCAGACAAAACGCGTTTTGTTGACATGATTCAGTTAACAGTTAAATTAAAAGGATTAATGTATGTATTGCTTTTTAAAATATTTATTAATAAAAAAAGAGTGCGTCGGCCCAGGGACACATGGATGGAATTTTAACTCTGCGTTGTCAATTTATTTAAATTAAACACGATACGCGGAGTCATTAATTTCCTCTTAAAAAATTATAAAACCCAAAAATTTGTTGCATTTGTATTTCTTCACAAAATGATGATAAAGGATGATGATTGGGTTAAATAAACTAAATATCCACTCATTGTCAATTGTTGTTTATTATCAAATATACTTTATTTAATTATTATAATAATGGACAGCGGATGGCCGTCGGGTTAGCAAGGTCAAACTCGGTACGGCTCGTACGGGATGGGAATTCATTGCAGTTTCAAGCTGCACTTCGTTTATTTGAGATTAGAATAACGTTGCTTCGTTGTACTCTGGTGTTAATTCCCGTTCTCATTTACTTAGCCATATTACTAATTACGTTTTCGTTAATTGTATTTATGAAATAAGTGACGTATAATTCAGTGATTATCACCCGCTACTGAATCCCGCCTCATGTTTTTTTACATTTGTTCAGACTAGTGTCGGTGTCGGTGTCGAACTCGAAATCATATTCCGGTGCGTGTCGTATACGTGTTCTATAATATGAGAAGAAAGGAGTTACAATTCCAATAATTTTTCGTCACATATTTGTGTCGTTAATGTTAATTAAAAAAAGCAATCTCCCACTCAATCGAATCGATTCTCCCTCACTCGTCGAGTCTGGTGACGCTCTCGACCACGATTACCGAATAGATAGGTTTATACTAGCATACATTTGCAAATCCCTGGTCAGCGACGCCAACTCCCGATCGTATCGCCTGGTTTTAGAGGTTTTAGGGACACAGAACTCTATAGGCATCTATTTATAACCAACGTTCAAAGCTGTTCAGTACTTAAAGTAAAAGTACTTGAAATATTACTTCAAGTACTTTACTCTTAATACTAATATTTTGGTACTTGGTACTTGAAGTATTTGTAAAATGTACTTGAGTTTAGTACTTGATTTTGCCAAGTACTTTAAACTTCAAATACTTTAGTCTCTACCTTACGAATTTTTCACATCTCAAAATAGGGACTGTTAAATACTTGAAATTATTAATTCAATAATTTGATTAGATGTATTTTTATAGTAAAATCGTGTTTGTTTCCTGTGAGGTTAATTTTGATCTGTGATTGTGAACACCTTATCCACAATACAACGTACCTATATTTCATAGGTACTTTGCATAATGCAGATAGGTAAGTAAGAAAATTAATGTCATAAATATGTCATTTAAGAGTGGATGACGACAGCAGAAGGGTCGGAGATCTGTGTAAAATGTTCAGTGATGTAAAGTTGTGAATATATGAATTTTATCTACTGGTTTGGAACTTAACTTTGCGGGTAGTTTTTCAGTACCTACCCAGGGTCCCAAAGAGGATTAGGTTCGTTGACGTACCTGCTAATGTGCAAGGTCGGATTTGAAAATATTTGAGAAATGATTCAGTACTCTTGTAAAAGAAATTCTTTCATTAGTTTATTAACCCCACCCTGTATTTCTCAGTAAGAAGCCTGGTCAGGGCGGACAACTCGGCAGGGGATTGTCCCTTTTACAACAGCAATAGCGGATGGCAGGTATAATAGACTTTCACATTCGCCTCTTCCTCGTAGAATTTAAACACAATTTTAATGTTGATATTTTGCAGTTTAATTTTCTTTATCACGTTAGACACTCGTTTATTACCAATTTCTCTTTCTTTGTTTATACATGCTTCAGCCATATAAACTTAGTTTGCTATTAGTACTTTAACGTAATTAATAAAATAAATCGTCATTTAAAAATTTCGTATTGTTAATTGCCACTCACAAAGCATTGTAAACGAAAATCCCCAAAGTCCACAAAGTAACTAGAATGATTTGCGCTTGACAAGGTAGAGGGGCTAACCGTAGGTGTGGATTAGGCGTCGCCATCCCAAGCCGTTTGTGTACAAACCTAACCTATCTATTATACAACCGTGCTCTCAACCAATCAGTCGAAACGCGTTTTGTCTGGTTAGGTTAGAACTAGTTTTAACTGATTTTCATTTTAAAACAGCAATTGTTTCTAGCTGTAAAAAAGGCCTATTTAGTAAAAACTAGTTTTAACTTTAACAGACATATTTGCGTCACTGTTTAATTTAACTTTACTGAAGATACCACGGTATGTACATACACATATTTGGCGTGCGTTTACCACACTTTCCTGTATATATTTATAAATCTAGTGCTGTTAAACTACCTCTTATCTTCTGATAAGATAAATGTTGAAAGAAAATGGTCAATTACGTCATTTTATTGATCGCTTTTTTGTCTATACAAACTTTCGTAAATTCAGGTAGGTACGTAGCGAACGTTACACTGAATCAAATATAACATTTGTTTATTTGACAGCAACTCGATGTTATGGATGTTCTTCCGCCATGAATTCCCAGTGTACATACGTCTTAAACAAAGAATTCCCAAATCACTGTAGTTTCGAAGTGGATGTAAAATGTGCATTATATACATATAAAACAAATGGTAAGAAACTGATTAATTAATAGAATGTACAGCACACCTAAATTTCTGTTGTCGAAATATTTTACAAGATAGGTACACATGTGGAATGAGTCACGTCATTAGGTGGGTATACAAAACTGTCTAAATCAAACACAGCGCTCTTTATAAGAATAGTTTTTTTTCTAGTTCAAATCATTTAAGTATCGTTGTAAAGGTAAGACTAACACACTTCACAGCAGCGGTGTAAATGCCTTAGTTGTTATCAGTGGCGGCTCCTCGGGGTGGGCACGGTGGGCAATGCCCACCCTGTTTGATTGTTTACGATACGAAGTAAAATATTGATTTTTTTTCTTTTTTAAATTATTTTATGTATACACAAATAATTATCGTCATAAACATCATTTAAGCCAACGGATTTTCTTCATTACATGCCGCAATTTCCGCAATTGAGAAATTGCAGTTGCAAAAAAGTGCGTCAGATCTCGGGGTTATACGGTTCATGTGAGGATGGGCTAGTCCACCCTGGTCCACCCTCTTGATTGTAAGCAACGACATACGTTCGGTTTTCTATGTACATGACAGAGTAAAGAATTCGAAACGCACGTCTTTGCATATCCGTGTTTTCTTGCTCCAAGCGGGGCAGGACGCCCTGGCGTCAACGTATATCTCAAACGCTGCAGAATCGGATCTCTGATATTCGATTCAAGGATTCAATAAATTAATTTCGACTTTTTTACTTCTTTTGTATTGTAAAAGTATAGAGATAATTATTTTTATTACTCCATTGAAACATATTTCAATATCATAGGTGAGGTGGTAAGGAAAATAATGTTATGCGAAAATTCTTGAATACTTTTGTTATAGAAAAGAGCAACACCATAATAATTAATAAATACTTTTTCATATCAAATGAAAATTTGTAATAACCATATTCTTGTATTATAACACCGTGTAAACTTTATAATGAATTATAAATTTAAAAATCCGAATAACCAATGATGAGAATAAGTAATACGTTTATTATTGCAGTACGTATGTGACATGTGTATTTTTTTATTATTACATATGCATTTTTGTTTCATACAGTGAATGCTTTGTTAACTGTAGCAGAGTCAACGAAAGTTAAATATACGCTTAATTTATAATTTAATTCAGACTGTCCGCACAGGTTTGTTATGCGTTTCGCTCTAGGATGGGCAAATCCACCCTAAAAATCGGAAGCACTCGGCATGGTTCGTCCTCGTCGGAGACACGACTGAATTGAAATCAGTCAGAAACTGCATTGTGGATAATGCATTTTATTATAAAATGTAGCTTACTCAAATTACCAAACGGTTAGGCGGGTACCAAAGTAGGTAATTTTTAGCAATTTTTTTTAATGACAAGTCCGACTGTAAGCTGTACAAATAATATTAGAGAGGTGGTAAAGAAGGTATTAAAGACATTGAGTTTTCGTTTTTAATAAATAAATTCAGTGTTATGGAACTTGATATTTATGAATTATTTGTTAATAAATTAAGATCATGTCCCGAAATGAAATAATTGGTCATCACAAACTCTCGTGGCAGTAATAAAGGCTTTAATCAAAATTCGAACAGTAAATATTACCTATTGGCTGATCCGTAGTGAAACAACAAGCAAAACTGCTGGAATTGTCTGTTATTTAACATATAATTAAATTACGAACACTTCAGAATTCCACAAGAAGAGCGATATAAAATATATCGCTACTGCTTTACAAAAACATGACCAATCTGAATAAACGAAAATTACTTTGAAAACGAAGTGAAACTATAGAAAATTCTCCTAAATTCGGCGTTTATTCGATATGATAATTTTCTTAGCTACACAAAAACATAGGTACATTTCGGGGACAAGATGAATCGCAAATTTCTCTTAAAGTAAATTCGATGATAAATTTAAAAAGTTTTTGGAGGAGTCTTTGGTAATTAGTGGTCTTTCTAAAACCAATCAGAGCGATTATTTTGGAATTATTTTTATTTTATTTGTTATTGTTAACTTTGTTAGTATTTTGAGAATTTATTTTTTGTTTCATTTGGCATTTTTAATTTTGCTTTTACAATAATTTTCCAAATTGCTGCTTTTTCTAAGTGTAGCTTATCTCAAAGGTACAAATTTAACGTTTTCTCGTCATGTTATTTCAAAATCTTTACATGTTTTGATAATTATTTGAGTTTATAGTTCTATAAACTCTTAACAAAACCATTTATCTGCTGAACCTTTTTTTTGCTCCTCTTTCCTCTTCTAGCAAGAGCCTTCGACGTTCTCGTTGGTTCTTGCTGAACGACATTGTAAGTAATATTTTTAAAATAATATATATGTAATAGACATAAAATATTTGTTATATTATATTGATTGACATGCAGCACCAAAACAAAAACACGTTCTCACAAAGATGATTAATTATACATATATATGTATATATATTTTTTTTCATACATGTTATAACCTACCTATAATACTTTGCCCACCCATCAAAAATCACCACGAGCCGGCACTGGTTGTTATCGGCATCGGTACGAAAATGTACCTTTGTGAAAAACTTCTGAGGACTATTACAACAAATATTTGTTGTGTTGTAAAGAATCTAAAATACTGTCTTAAATATTATTGTACTGGAAGAACGCAGTAATTTACAGTTTCTACGAGATATTGCATTTTATTATTATTAATCCTCAAAGAAAAACATGTTGCATAGCCCATTTAAATTTTAAACAGCTGTTTTTAAATAATTATGATCAAACTCACACTTAACCTTAAAAGTACATACAAAAGGTTAATAAAATATCAAATGACACAAAAACTAGGAAAATCTTGATGATAAAAATCACACATTTTTTTATGAGGGCACACGTTTTATTTCTCACTATAATATGATATAGATAGTCAAGAGATTTTTTTTTAAGCATCTACCAAGTTTTTAAAGACTGCATCAGAGGTGTCCACTATGTCAAATATTAATACAATTTTTTACATCTAACAGATTTTCCGCTTCCACCTGTTTGTTAGCCTTGTGCGGTCTGTTGGTAATTTATCAAATACATAATCTTCAAAAACACTGAATAGGTTGTTGTAAAATCGTCACATTCGCAACATATTATGCTCTTTATATATCGTGCAACAACCTTTACTGCCTATCTCGGTGATTAGATAAAAAAAGTTTTTGAAATGATTTAACATGTTAACACTGATTTAGGAAATAGAGAACATTAACTAAATTTTACTTAGATGTGATAATGATAACCCAAACATCCCGCCTTAAATTGACATGTGAAAAAAAAATTGAAAGCTCGCGAAAAATACAAAAATTAAAAATTTGGCCTTGGCTGTGATCATCTGACAAAATGGAACCCTATGTTGGGTTTTTGAAAAATGGCGGGATGCGTTGAGATGCCACTGGTGGACCCCAAGGTTGGAACAGTACCGCTAAAAAAAACACTAAATTTTCGGAGGACACAAAATTATCTATAACTCCACTGACAAAAAAGAGAAAAAAAGCTGCGACTAAGTTGTGTCAGGTGAAGACACCCCTTAACGCTCAGGTCCAAAAAAAAACCTTTAAATGACTTGGAATGAAATCCAATTAAACGTTCTGAATCAATGCAAATATTTGAATGTCTCAAATTTAATAAAAACAAAAATCAAAATCTGAATGAAAGTAACTGGATGCAAATACACAAGTTATTACAGAGGTGTGGCGGCAAATTTAAATTATGGCAGTCAACAAGAGCACAAAATTTTAATAAAAAAACGATGCAGCGGCAGCAGCATCAGAGCACTATATAAGAGTATGACGATCGACTATATCAATTTCATTCTAGAAACAGCAAAAATACCCATAGGGGGCGTTGTACCACGAGCGGAGATTGGGGCTCCCGGTCGTGGCTGTTCTCCCCCATGACGGTGATTCTATCTATTGCAAGCACTGCCGCACAGCAATTCTCTATTACGGACAAGCGGTACGAGCAGGCCGTTACGGTCGCAAACTCGCAGTTGGGTCCCGGCAATGGGGTGGAAGCCGACAGCGTTACGTCATCTCGACCGTCCCTGAATTCTATTCTAATCTGCATCTTTTGTTCAGATGGCGCGATAAATTCCGCCAGCTCGACTAGGAACCGCGCACTCCGCTGCTGCTACGTATTTCAGTATTATTTCACTTGAATTCCATTTATATGTTCAATTCTTATGACTCTGATATTAACCGCAACTGAACAAATCTTAAAGTTTCAGAAAGAGCAATAAACAACATTTACATTCGCCATACAATCTTGTGAAATTTTAAACAACAAATAATTCTTATTTGATATTAAAATTCGACATCAGATAATTTATATGATGGAAACATTCATCAACAAAATATTTACAAAACAAAAACTAGCAAAGATTAAAAAAAAACAAAAGATCTGGTGTAAAATAAAACTTGTACAGACAAAAGAAAATTACGTGAGATTAAAAACTGCAGAGCATGGAAATTTACCTTGAATTTAAATTATAAAACAAAGAAAATTACTGAAGTTAAAATTGTGAGATAGAGAAATACTGTATGAGGTAAAAATTGCAAAGCTAACAAATTTACATGAGTTTAATAAGATTTTACAGTTCAGACATGTGCTCGGTTTAAAAGGACGCTTTCAACATGGCTGTAGCCAGAAAAGAGGGTTTACATTATGTTAAATTATGCCACAATTTATCAACGATTCAAACAAAGAATTTACATTACGTTAAATGATACTTTGATCCAAGTGACTGGTTACTTAAAACAATTAGCTTTGAAAATTTATATTGTGGACTATTTACCCCAAACAAAACACATGATAAATAAACAACACAAAATATCTTCTGCGTTGCGAGGAAAGCTCCTTGGTGATGTAAATTTTAACGTTGCGAGATTACATGTTCCGTTGATGTAGCTGTGTACGTTGCGAGATAATTATCTCGGTGATGCGATGATGATACGATGATAATAACGATGATAACTACATAAGGAGAGAAATCTTTAATTATCCCCCGTCCCTCAGTCCACGATTTTATTTTATAATTTTTATTTTGTTAATTTAACTGCCGTAAATGAACTATTGGCAATCTTGTGTGAAGAATTAAAAAGTGTTATAATGTATCACTTAAGTTTTAGTATCCAGAAACGTTCTTGGTAATTAGACAAACAAAATCAAACGAATCTAGACAAAGTGAATTTCATGAAAACTCCTATCAAGTATTTATCTAAATAAATCGAATGTCTGTTACATTGTGTTAGCACCAGTTAACGATTAAAATCCTAACCTAAACTGTGAATTTACAAACAGTGAATCAAATTTACACGAGTTCGCGTTGGTTGAAAAATCGCATTTTACCGATTAAATAGCCGCAACAATTAGCTGTGCGTGTTGGGGAAAATTATGGCGTAGCCGTTGTTACGATTAACTATCGCTAAACAAAGGCTTTCTCCCTTTTAATAACTACCAAACCAACTAAACTTAACCTAACTTCCTTACCGCATGTTGCACTCACAACAAACCAAACGAAAACTGACGCTTTTCACCTCCTTCTACAAAGAGGCCATCTTTTCCTCTAAAGAACTAAACGTGCACAAGGCCTATGTTTAACAATTTTTTTTTATTGATTTTTTTTTCAAATTCAAATTATTCAAATATGATTTCGCGCGCTGCTATTTTTTTTTCAGCGCGAAATTTTGATTCAAATTCGGTCACCACACAGAGTTAAATACCTTCACCAAAAAAAGATAATGCGTTCATTTCCACGATTTATTAAACAAATCTTTATTGCTGCTGTGCAGTTAAACTCGACTTTTTTGTTTCAGAAGATAAAGAAGTCATTGTTCGTGGATGTAAAAATACAACAGAAACTTGCAAACATATCGAAGACATGTTAACCAAGGAACACAAGACCATAAGCAACTGTACTATGTGTTCCGAAAACCTGTGCAATGACGTATTTTCGACGTCTGAAGGAAGCAAAGTGGACAAATTGAGTTCTCATAATATCTACATTTTACTAATAACATTTTGCGTGTTTTTAGTTACTCGGCACTGAGTTATTTTCAGGCGCGGATACAGGATTTCGTTTAGGGGGGGGGGGGGGGATTTTTGTGCGATTTTACCTATCTCCCAGAAATTCGTTCTAAACAAAAAAAATATATAAAATTTTAACCAGTATACTCTTTTTTACATAACATGGGTGAGATTTGGTTGTTTTCGTCACTATACTTACAGTAGAACCTCGATAATCCAAATTAATTGGGAAAAAGGGGTATTCGCTTTAACGATTTGTTCGGATCAGCGATTTTCCCAAAAATCTGAAAGGGACTTGAATAACAACTTCATACACAGTTCAGTACAAACTTAATTTTATTAAACAAAATTAAAGAATTCTTAAGCAACAATGGATAATAGATACATTCTAAAAAAATATTACTCTGTGACCATAAACACGCTTTTTGGAATCAACACGCCGGGATCTAGATATAGGTACCCTGCATTTTTTCAGAATTTTTAGATGAATTTTTCAAAAATGAAATTTTCCATTATGTATTACCTCCATTATGCAAATTTCGACCCACAACGACGATTTTCGAAATTTAACTACCTAAATACTTTTTCTTGTAGATTTCGGGCCTCATTTCTTCGATAACTTCAACCTTTTTTCCAGAGTTAGTTAATTAATTCAGTGCATTGAAGTATCGCAATTTTTTAAAATTTCAAAATATTCCATACAACATATGCAGAAAGCTCTTGCGTCATTTTTGCAAGTAGGTGCGTGTTTCCAAGTTCAGTTCGGATTGCAGAGTTTTTGTTCGGATTAAAGAAGCATCGAATTCAAATAGCCTCTGTTCGGATTAATGGATGTTCGGATAATCGTGAATTCGAATTATAGAAGTTGTACTGTATTTACAAAATGAAATGCGATTTCAAAATTTTGAAATTGGTCAAAATAAAGTACCTCGGTCGTGTGCCCCCCCTCCCCCCCCCCCCGAATCCGCGCCTGGTTATTTTCTATGAAATTAGAAGAACTAGAATATTTGTCCGGTAACACTATGCAACACTAAAAAATTCACCAGAAAGTTCAGATAGTGTTTGAGGTTGGGTATACTCCATATACTAAAGAAAAAAATGTTTTATACCCATATCATTTCACAAAACATAGGTAGATAACGGGTGTTTTGTTTTTCTTACTTTTTGGGACATTTTAGGAATTATGCGTAATAACTAAACTTGTCAGTTATTATGCATAATAACCGGGAAGATTAGGAATTATGCGTAATCAAAAAAGCTACCCACCCTGCCTCGCTTTCCCCTACGTATCACATATACAGTGGATTTAAAAAAAAACTGGACAAATTACAGTAACATAAACGTCATATTCCCATTGCTTTTCATTGTCTATGAGAACCTGATTTGCTCATTTTGTCCCGTTTTTTGTGAAATCAGCTGGACATGTTAGGCAATATGCTTAATGACTAATGTTTCAGGTATTATGCATAGTTCCTGTTCCTCTGTTAGTTATTATCAATATTACCTAAAAGTTTCCATTATTATAATAACTGCGAAAATTTCAGTTATTACGCATAATTCCTAAAATGTCTAGTTATTATGCATAATAATGTATTTCGGATATTAGCTGTAACATATCCACCCATGTTTGCAGACTTCTGTTGGTGTCTTCAGAGGGATACTGCGAGATCTGGCTACAATAGGTATGCCAATCGTTCAAAAAAAAGACCTTTTTCAATGAAAAATGAAGTTTTGTTTTATTAATTTTGTATGACTTCAAAAATTTTTTTTTCATTTTGAAACCTGATGTGATACGGTTCTTTCAAGCATAATCCTCAATTGAGTTTGAGGTAAGAAATTTTAACTACATACTGTGCATTCTGTGAATTTTATTTTTTTTTTTGATTTGTTGCATAGTGTAATAATTGACTAACGGGCCAATTTCAAGTTGGATTTACAATTTCGCAAGTCCTCGTTGCCATGGAAGTTGCGATGGCAGCAGTCGCGAGGACGAATCATATCGCCAATCGCAACAACTGTCATCGAAATTATTGAATTACCCCAAAGGGGTAATTTCAACATCGAAATTACCATAGCAACGGCACTTGCGATTTCGCGAATCCAACTTAATTTCGATGACAGTTGTTGCCATTCACGATATGATTCGTCCTCGCGACTGCTGTCATCGCATCTTCCATGGCAACGAGGACTTGCGAAATTGTAAATCCAACTTGAAATTGGCCCGTAAGACAACATCAGCGTAGAAATCCGTAAATTTGAAAGATGCAACGTGTTACAGAAAAAAGTACATTAAATTTAACCACGAACAGAACTCGTCAACAGAAAACATTTTTCTATTTTGGCATTTTTCAAAAACGATTTTCACCCCCCCCCCCCCCCATTATTTAACGAATTTAACGAGCCGTCCATCCATTTCTTCAATTGTTGACCGTGAATTTCACTTTCGATGCATCAGATGGAAAGTGTTTGTTTTTACCCAATTTTGTGCCAAGTTGGCTAGCAATAACGTTTTATCAGCTTCAAAATAGTTAGTTCCTTTTCGACTTTCCTTTGCGGTGTTTTTCACTTTTCGTTATGTTATGCCTCGCTATTCGAACAGTGAATACACGGACATGCTGCTAGTGTATGAAGAAACCCAGGGAAATGCAATGCAAGCAAAAGAATTTTGATATTCTTGAAATTTTGGAGGAACAAGTGATACGTGCTGCTGAAACAATTCGAAACAATTAAATTATGTTACAGAGTCAAAGACTCATTTCGTCGCCGTCTTCAGTGTTGTCTAGATAATAATAGTGGCCACTTTGAACATTTATTATGAAGTTTTTGGCGATTTCAAGGTATGTCTCCATTACCTATTACAACCTTGCATTCAAATGTTTACATTTTTTGTTCCCCATTGTGTTCATTTCTTATCCCTCTCCACAAGAAACTGCTTTGTTAGCCATTGGCGGGTAGGTGAATTTGTATTAAATCTTTGACTAATTTTAACTCAATCACGAAAGGGTTTACGATTAGTTCTATTACCAGTTAAAATTAATGTACTTTTCTCTGTAACAGGCTGTATATACATATATATATATATATTCTGTATCAATAACAAAACTAATAAACTATATTCTTTTAAAGTACCTATGTCTTTAGCTAAACTGAATACACAAAACATTGTAGTTACTTTCAGCTAAAGCGACTAATTGTAACTTGAAGTGCATTTAATAAGTTACTATGTATACAAAATTCTCATTGTCACTGTTTTAAAACTACAGTTGTTTTATTTTCTTAAAGCGTATTTGTAATTTTTAAATTCGTGATACAAACAAAACTTTATACACTTTCATTAAAAACCAACATCATCACTTGATTAAAAAAGCTTCTTTGCAGTCTTTTACACAATGGTATAGAAAGTAAGTTTTTCTAGTTACTAGGGGATTTTTTACCTGTCTAGATCCAATACACAGTATTATCTAATGGCTGACAAAGACGACACTGACACAGATCTAGAAATAGAGAAAACATATGAGACAAATTGTCAGTCTTTATTTCCAAGAAAATCGAAGGGAAGGTATGGAAAATTGCATGAAAGTTACAAAAAATGGTTGTGTGCGAAGAAAGTGGTGATAACTGAAAAAACTTTCGTGGCTTATTTTATTCAGGGAAGCTTATGATTGAAGTGTCTTCTGGAAACTTTTGAGCAGAGTATTCTAGCTTAAGACTCTGCAAACAACTTTGACAATATTGTCTCAGTAGTCTGGAGTTCCTATTGCAACATGAAATTGGACAATGGGTCCAACGCATTGACGAAAGGATATTACAGAACATTTTTGAAAATAAGAAAAACAGAGAGAACATGTGCCGTGAACAAAATGGTGAACACTTTGAACATTTACTGTGATGTTTAGCCAGAATAAATTTCTTTATTTTTATTGTAAGTTTTATTTTTTAATAACATAAAATATGAATCATTCGGGCAACTAGTTGTACAGATGAGTGTGGTATTTGTCGTGCGTTCTTGGACATTTAGTAAAATACACATAAAGTGATAGGCGGCACGCTTCCATGACCTACTTCGACCCTATAATCATTTATAGAAACGCTGTATAACAGTTCTGTTATTTTTTTATCTCAATAGAAACTAACCATAGTGTTGAATATTTGACTTACAAATTGTTTCCACAATGACAGTAAATACATGTAACAAAAGGATTGTACGTCAATAGGGACATATTACTCTGCTTCAGTAAAATAAAGTATATTCTGTCCGGAGAGAGCTTTAGGATTGCATTGCCAAAGGTGAAACAAATATTAAATAAAAATATATACTAAAAGGGGGTACCTAAAATTATTACATCAAAAAATCAGTAATTGTACAACAGAAAATTGCCAATACTGGTATAGATTTGTTCATATCTTTCAGAAAACGGAACAAAAATCATAAGTAAGTACTAGGGGATTAGACGGTTTTAAAATTGGTAATCAAATCCGTTTGATCTCTACAACACAGTTTACATACGAATTTGTATAATGTGTTAAAAATTAGTAAAACAATGCCATACAGATTATTGTAGACAATCAACTTGTCGTAGATCGTAGATATACCTATCTAAGATCTTAATCTTTTTAAGTAGGTACGTAATTTATATTCCATAAATTCAGGGTAGAGGATTCTTAATGCACAAACTGTTGATATTATGACAGTCTTCAAATTTAAAAATCCTATAAAAAGTAAATGTTTGAAGTCGGAATTTTGTTCCTGTTCTTGTAAATTTTAACAACACGTTTTTATATGTTTGCATTTATTGTAAAAAAATGAAATAATAATTAGTGTAGTAAAATTCTAATAGAGATGTACATTTTTAATTTCCGTAACACTATTGCAAATGAATAAAGAATTTTTCACACATTTAAAATTCACAAACATTATCCAGTCAAATAAATCAACCATCTGATTTATTTTTGAAGACCCGTTTGTCGTTACAACAGTAGATGTCGTTTTGTTTTAACTAATACGAAAGTCCTATATTTTAGATGATTTTTAACAAATTTGATAACACATGTTTTGATCCATGAATTATAGAGTACGTCTAAAAATATTAACATCCTAAATTTATCCCACCTATTTACGTCTTTCATAGATTTCACATAAACACTAAAGAACCGCACATAATTATGCTTCCACGAAAATAAACACCTACTTCCCCATCTTCTAAACAATCTGCTACCTTAGACTTGTTACAGACACCTTCTTGTTAGCTTCGACGAAAAATGTGCAGAAGTGTCATAATTATCGTCTTTTTAATATCACACTGTCTATTTTCGGGTGAGTTTCACACTTAAATAAAATAAAATCACCTTCGTTTTCTCTTAGCTCTGGCTGCAACGGTGTGTTACCAATGCTCGACATCAATTAACCCTGATTGTCTTCATCTTCAGGATACGAGACATACTTGTAAAACTACAATTAAGGAAACCGAAATTAACTGCATAACTTACAAGTACAGACTGAGTAATATTAAGTAACATTACTGTTTGCTTTATTTTAATTAAATAAAAATTCCAGGTGGCAGAAATTACACCTACCGTGGTTGTCGAAAGAAAAGCGATACTTGCGAGGATGTTAAAATTGAGAAAGAAAAAGAGAGGAAAGAGTTCTTTGATTGTAGTTTATGTGATACTGACCTGTGTGGAAAAGCATCTTCGAATACGCGTTCACATATGCTGACAAGTTTCCTAAGTATATTAGTTCTAATGAAATTATAAACTTTTAACTTTCTGAACAAATTTAGTAACTAGGTTTATTAACATTTCACGTCATGTACTATGTTTCACAGTTTAGAATAGTCCGAAAATACATATATACAATATATATATAAAGTGTTTAAACGTTTTAACAGGACAAGCTTATTCTTTTTACTTCCCGACGAATAATTCCTTTTATGTGTCCTCAACGGTTCATGGCCTCTACATTATGAAAACATAGGTATTCCGTTTTCGTCTGTCTATTTCTGCTGATTACGAAATTCCAATGTGCCATTTTATAAAATAACATTTTCCTATACCTGTGGTTTATGAATCCAGCTTGATTTTTTACCCTAGATACCCATATTTTAATTTGTAAGGGTTATCTTTAACAAAATTAAATTGGGAACATCAAATTTATAATTTTTTGGAAAATGTACTTCAGGAGACAAAGAATTTCGGTTTAAATAATCTTAGATCAAATTTTTATAAACACCTTACACTTTTTGCAATTACAGTTTAGTAACCAAATAATTTTAACAAAAAATTCTGCCCTGATTTAATATGTAACTTTTTCAAAACTTAAGGAAAGTTTACTATATTTTCCACAAAAGTTGTAGTTCTAGATATTAAATAAAGTTTTTGAAAAAACGTAACTTGTAAACCGTATATTTTTAGAATAGACGGATATTAAGAAGGCCCGTGATAGACAAGTAGCAAATATTTGCATAAGAATGGAAAAACGAGGGCCTGAGGATTGCCAGGAAAGCTAATTTTAGACTATCTCTTGTTAAGCAGAAAATGATTGTGAAAATTTGTTCAGTCTGAATATTTTACGACCCATGTACGAATTTTTGGTGCTAAACAATAAAGCACACCTAATCAACTCTACAAAAGACATCAAGGAAATTTTGTCTTGAACAAACAGCAATCATATTGGTTCGAAAATCACACTAATTTATCTTTCTAGTCAAATAAACTTGCATGCAATGACGCTTTTTCATGTCTTGCATTATATCAGTTATCTAGTGATTGCGATAACATTTATATTTATTTAAATAATAGTGCTTCCCAAACAAGAAATTTTGTAATCGCTTAAATATAAGTCATCAATACGAAACGACAACGCTTTTGAGTTTGTGTAGTATAGTTTTGTTGTAAGGTAAGTTCAGTCAAATAGTGACAAAATTATGCTATGTTTCCTAATCAAAATCACGTTAGCGATAACAAAAACATCTATTGTTCTATCTCTATGTTGAATCATTTACAGCAAGTACACAATGAGTCACAAAAGCGTCTTCCGGACAACAATTTTCTTATATTTTACATTCTACAGCTTAACTTCAGGTACTAATTTTATGACAAATTCATACATAATTTATATAACCTAGTATTATTCCAGTATCTGCGGCAATTGAATGTTATCAGTGTTCAACTGCAACAACCCCTGAGTGCGCTGAGCTAAGCAAGAATGGAATAGATACATGTAAAACAACCGCCGCTTCCGACATTAACTGTGTTATGTATATGTTTAAATTAAGTAAGTCGTAATGGAGTTTCAAGCTCTTGTGTTAAACAAATTTGTTGTAGACGGAAAAAACTTCACTTATCGGGGATGTAGACAAAAAAGTGACACTTGTGACGATGTGAAGGCATCATTAGAAGCAGAAAACAAAGAATTCGTAGACTGTGCGTTGTGTGACACCGACCTTTGTAAAGCTGCAAGCACAACGTTTTCGATTAACCTAGCACTAATTCTATTATTTATAAGTTTCCCAGTTATATTAAAGTGATCTTGTTAGTAAGTAGTGTTTGACAAACTTTAATGAACATACATTATTATCAACCTTCACGCTGTTAATGTTGCGTCACGATTGACAAACATTAACTTGTGAGTAATTGAGGTTTTAAGATAAGTAATTCAATACACAGAAACGTTGTTATTGTTGTCACCGAAATCTCCTGTCCTTCGTATCGTTCTTCAAGTATGTTAGCAAAATAGTCCCAACTGTTGAGGAGCAATAAATGTTTTACTAATAACTCCAAAAATTGTTTCGTGGAAACGATAATATATATCGCATTCTGATCGAGAGTTTGCTTAGTGAGTCATATCATAAACCATTTTCACGTAATGGCTTACTATTTGTTTAGAAGAATGATTCGAATGCTCAGTGAAACTGTTTACATGAACAAATTTAACAAAAACTTTTCAAGCGAGCCAAGTTCTGTCCACAGCAAAGAACTGCAGTTAATTACACGAACTGCATTAAACAGTTGAGTCAGATATGCACTTTAGCAAATGACCTTTGAAATTTTAAGTGTTGCTGAATAACTTTGTAAAATAGGGTAACAATGACAACTGTGCTAATCATTTACTGTTCAAAGGCTAATTAACGTTTATCTTTGAATACAAAATAAACAAATTAACAACGCCATTCATTCTTTATTAGCAGAATTAAAAAACAAAGTGTGCAAAAAATTATAGAGACAAACTCGTCAGATTTTTAAAGCAAGATATAAGACACATTTTTATGTTTTAAAAACAAGAGACACTAGAAGAACAGAGTTTGTGATTTATACATTTGTATGTAAAGTTTACACATATTTTTAAATAATTGAATTAACTAACTAACGTGAGGAAAAATTACGTATAAACAGTGCAAATAGTATCCAAGTTTGTGAAAGACATTAATGCAAAGCTTCCATAAATGTTTCGTTGTTTTCTACTTTGTATGAATGAAATTTTCGCTTTTTAACTTAACGTTCTCCGGTTTATGCAACCAGTTAAACAAATAGAAACAATAGCTGAAAAGCTATAGTGACACACTGTGGTAACCACAGGCGTGATAACCCAAACATCCTTTCAAAATTAAACATGTGCACACAATTATAAACCCAAGTAATAATTCAAAATCTGGCCTTGAACCATGATCTTTAACAAAATGGAACCCTGCGATGTGTGCGTGAGGACAGCTTTCAAAAAATCAACAGATGTTACAGATCGATACAAATGTTTGAATATAGCAAAAAAAAAATCTCTCGGCAAATTATGACAACAAAAAACCAGACCAATTTCTATTTTGTCAAATTTTGCTAAAGTTTTTGAGCTTGCAAACTACGAAAATATATATAACTACGTTAAAGGATACCTCTCACCCAGTCAGCATGGCTTTTTTACCCAGAAGATCCAGAGTTAGACTGGACTCAAACATTTAAGGCGGTTATGGCTTTGACGTTTAAAGTACTTTACAGCCGACCTTTCATAAAACTTAGTAAATGTAAACCATGCCACGTGCCAGGGACGGGCGAGACGCGAAGGACCGGACTAAGAGTAATTTTGTTTTTAACTTTTCTTCCGTACCTTAATTATTTAATCATTATTCTGCACATTTGAAAGTATTATTAAGATTACCAAAATTTAATAGTGCAACATTTGACATAATTAGGGAAGAAGCTTCCAAAATAACTGCGGGAACGTGGGCCAATTCTGTACGACATTCCATAAAAGAAGAAGACCAGTACAGTCCTGCCCTGTGCTTTTACCAGAAAAGGTCTTTTCAGGTAGGTATCGTTGAGCGGGTTTAAGTAGTTTAAGACATCTGGCTGTAACGGCCTATTGAATTATAATGGGAGTCAAATTGGTGTGAAGCCATAAACGCCTTAAATGTTTGAGTCCAGTCTATCAACTTAGTGATCCAAACCCAATTTATTAGTAAAGAAATTGATCAACGTGGACAAGTCGATGTTATATATACTGATTTCTCCAGTGCTTTCGATATAATTAACCATCAAATACTAATTGAGAAATTAAGCGGCTTTGGTTTTTCTCCTAAATTTTTGCAACTTATGATTTCTTACCTAACAAATAGAGAAAGCTATGTTTTTTATAATGATCTTGGATCCAACACTTATTTGGCTACATCCGGGGTACCACAATGGTTAAATTTTGGCCCCCTTCTCTTTATTATTTTCATTAATAATATATAATACTTCGTTTGTTAGATCAAAACTAGAGTATGGCTGTGTTATTTGGTCCCCAGGGTATGATGTTCATTGTCTCAAATTAGAAAAGTTACAAAGGAAATTTTTAAAATTCCTCCATTTCAAATCATTTGGCTATTACCCTTGTAGAGGTTTTCCTCAAAATGAGCTTTTGGTATACTATCCTCAAACATATTTGGCGTTTATGACTTCACACCAATTTGACTCCCATTATAATTCAATAGGCCGTCACAACCGGATGTCTTAAACCCGCTCACCGATACTTACCTGAAAAGACCTTTTCTGGTAAAAGCACAGGGCAGGACTGAGTTTTGCATTTACCGACAACTGCGCCTTTCGAGTTTTTTATTTTAAGTAAAAACAAAGTAACTTTGTACTCAATCATTTTTTATTACAGCACAACTATTTACTTATTAACTACTACTGCTTATTTATTGATCGAAATAGTCACTGTCACCATCACTCGACTCTTCTAAATTAATAATTAACGGTGTTATCAACCGTGCCCTGTACTGGTCTTCTTCTTTTGTGGAATGTCGTACACAATTGGCCCACATTTCGGCAGTTATTTTGGAAGCTTCTTCCCTAATTATGTCAATTGTTGCACTACTAAATTTTGGTGCCGTATTATTCCTTCTTATATTATTTTTCATTTGCGACCAGATTAGTTCGATGGGTACGGCGGAAGTCTAATCACCCTAAATCCACGATCTCGCGCCATAGCATCTATTTTATATTGTTTCTCAAATTTTCGAGTGTGTAACACTTCTAATAATTGTGTCTTTGTGTAATTTTCTTCAAAGTATAAATCATGTTCTGTAAGGAAATTTTGAAATTTGAAAACTTTAACAAACAAAATTACTCTGAGTCCGGTCCTTCGCGTCTCGACCGTCCCTGGCACGTCGAAAAGGTCTTTTCAGGTAGGTATCGGTGAGCGGGTTTAAGACATCCGGTTGTGACGGCCTATTGAATTATAATGGGAGTCAAATTGGTGTGAAGTCATAAACGCCAAATATGTTTGAGGATAGTATACTCTTTTCCATTCAAAGCTTGGAAAAGAGGAGAGAAACTTTGTCTCTCTGTTTTCTTTTTAAATTGGTGAATGGTGTTGTAAATTCAAATGCTTTAGTTGAAAAATTGTGCTTTCTAGTTCCCCGGTCAAACATTAGAAACCCTTTATGTTTTTATACTGAAATTTCTAGAACTAATGTACATGTGTTCTCGCCCATTACAACTATGTGCAGAATTTATAATAATTATCGGAATAAATTTGATATTTTCAATTGTAGTTTACGCCAGATCAAAAATGCACATCTATAACAGTCTACTAATTTTTAACTATTTAATTATGCATTTCCAACAATCTAATTTAGCCCTAATATACCACCCTAATAATTGGTTTATCTGTAGGGGTGGTCAACCATAATAATATTATTAATAATAATAATAATAATAATTAATAATTTATTAAATCTTTCGGGTTATGAAGTACTAGCCTATGCTGATGACATTAAATTATTTTCAGCTACAAATAGGGAATCTGGCATAGTACACTTTCAACAAAATATTAATATATTTTATGAATTATGTAACAGCTACAAACTAAAACGAAATATTGATGAATTCTGTTTTGTTACTGGATTCTGGATTCTTAAATTATGGGGGCTGACCGTAGCCAGCCGGCACTTAGGCCTCGCCTTTGGGCCCATTGTACCTTCCCCAAGTCCATATCAGGGTGTTTTCCCGCTCCTCGACTCGTCAAGCCACCCAACTGCTTGAATGTACTTGAGTAATGCAGAGGGTGGAAACTCCCTGATATTTGCCATACTAGGCCAGATGTCCCCTAGTATGGATTCCCTGTAGGAGGCTAGGGCTGGACACTCACGAAGAATGTGCTCAGCTGTTTCTTCATTGCATCCACGACAGATCGGGTCTGTTACCACCCCTATCGTATGTAGATGTTTGTTAAACTGGTAATGTCCCGTAAGGAATCCTACCAGTTTACGCAGTTTGTCCCTTGAAAGTGAGAGATAAAATTTCGTCAACTTACGGTCTGGTATCGCCATACAAGCTCTACTATGCCGACAGCTGCTCAATTTCACCCATATCTGCTCATGGCGTCTCTGGGTATATTGCTTTACGAGTTCGTTCGAGAGGGCGACCGAAGGCGTGATTGCCGGTTCGGGTCCCCAGAAGGGCATGCGCGCGGCTCGCTTCGCCATCTCATCTGCCCTCTCGTTTCCTTCGTTGCCACTGTGTCCTTTGATCCAACAAAGCTCCACACTATTCCTCTGCGTTACATACTTTAGCGTTTGTCTGCACTCCCAAACCAGCCCGGATCGAACCATACAGCTGTCCAGGGCTAGTAGTGCAGACTTGCTGTCAGTAAGTATGCGTATTGATTTGTTGCCGATTTCACGTTCAGCAATGATTCTAGCTCCCAGCATTATTCCCATCAGTTCTGTTTGTAAGACAGACGTGTGGGTGCCGAGAGGTACACTGATTTGTGCGTTCAGTTGTTCAGAGTAGATGCCGGCTCCTGAACCACTATCTGTTTTGGCACCATCGACATAGATATCTATGTCGGCTCGTCCTTCTGAATTATCATTCATTGATATTCTATATGTCTTCTCATATATTAATTTTGTGCCCATTCGGTCACACCCCATCCTTAACAAGGGTATTCTGTTGAACGCCTCCGTTAAGATCCGAGTGTGCTTCGTTGTGCGGCCTTGCTTGTTCCATACTCCCAGAGAGTGAAGTCTTAGAGACGTCGTCATTGCCGCTTCCTCTATGTAAAGGT